AAAAAAGTGGTACTGAGAGAATGCATTCCTGAGAGACACGCATTGCTGAGAGAGAGATGCAAGAGACATGCATTGCTGAGAGAGACACCGAGAGACGCACACTGCTGGGAGAGAGACTGAGAGAGACTGTTGCCTGAGAGACAGCAGGCTGAGAGAAATTGAGTATTGTTCCTGAACTTGAATTGTAGCCTGTTGCTTCCCTAATAAACCCCATAATCTGTGAGTTCTGTGTGGCCACTACAGCAACTTATTGAACCAGCAGAGAGCTGGTGAGTGCTGTGGGAGGAATGGTTGGTGTCAGGGTTGGTGAAAGGGCTGGAGGGAGGTAGCATGTCTGGCCTCACAGTAATAGACCTTGGGCTACTGATGGTGATTCTGTCTTCCTCTTGTGTGATTAGAGGTCAGAAGATGCGGCCTCCTTGCCCCTTTAGCAGTGCCATTGATGGCTAAATTCAAGAGCTGTGACAGTCACTGCTTCTCACTCCCTCTGAGAGCCGCTCCTTGCCCCAGCCTCCCTGACGCCCACTCTGCTCCTTGTTCCCCAGATGAGCCAGGTGCCATGACTGTAACCTGGACCACATGGATCCCTACCCTCTCTGAAGTGCAGTTTGGGCTGCAGCTATCAGGACCCCTGCCCTTCCAGGCCCGGGGTGCCTCAAGCCCCTTTGTGGATGGGGGCATTCTCCGTCGGAAGCTGTACATACACCGAGTCATGCTGCGGGGGCTGCTGCCTGGGGTCCAGTATGGTGAGAAGGGTCCCGGGCTGAGAGATTGAGGGAGGACAGGAAGTGAAGTGGGCTATGGACCAGAAGCTCCCACTGGCTGGTGGCTGAGGCTGGGCTGGTCACTGCTCTTTATTTGCAAGCCTGTTGTAAGAGACCCTGGGATGAAAATGGAAGGTGTGGGGGATCTAGGGAGAGGTAGACAGTGGGGCATGGGTGAGATCTATCTAATACCCTTCTTCCCCATGCCAGATGAAAATGGATGGGGGTTGGAGGAAGGATCCTGGGCACCTCCAGCTGACTGTGAGCTTTTCCTCTCTCCTCAGTTTACCGTTGTGGCAGCGCCCGGGGCTGGAGCCGTCGGTTCCGCTTCAGGACCCTAAAGAGTGGGCCCCACTGGAGCCCCCGTCTGGCTGTGTTTGGGGACCTGGGGGCTGACAACCCAAAGGCTCTCCCCCGGCTGCGGAGGGACATCCAGCAGGGCATGTATGATGCTGTTCTCCATGTGGGTGAGGCATTGGCAAGGGTGCCCTGGAGGCGTGGGTGGTGGGAGTTTGGGTGCAAGGCAGCACCAGGACTGTGGTGGGGTGTGGGGCTGGGGCTAGCTTGGTTCTGAAAGCACAGAGGTTGAGATTGGCCATAGAGATCAATGACTGTGGTTTACCAGCTGCCCCAGTTGACATCTCAATTCTAGCACTTAGACCTGTGTGCACTGGTTTTCTTTCTGTGTTGTTATTAGACACTGAACTAGAGCAGAATTCATAGGAGTATGGGGATGACTCCATAAGGTAATGTGTGTACAGCTCTTTCAACATTGCCTGGCATGTTGTAAGTGCCAGATAAGTGCTAGTTGTTGTTGTTACTCTTATTTAGGGGACAGGAGACGAGATGGGAGATTAGGCTGATATGTTCCAAAGTAGAGACTCTGGAGTCAGACTCCTGGGGTTTGATTCCTGTACCTTCACTAATGAGATGGGTGGACACAGTGGCTGCAACGATGGTTCCCAGCATAGCAAGGATTGTGAGGATGGCACAGAGCCAGGCAGCGTTTGTCTTGTTGTACATAGCATTGCTGTGAGTCAGAGCCAACTCAATGGCCCCTAACAACAATAGCATCTTCATTCTGATAACTTGGGCAAGCACTTTGCCTCTCTGGGCCTGTTTCCCCATCTGAAATGGGGATGATAGTAATACTCACCTTATGAGTGTTTTGAAGATTCAGGTGATCGTGTGTGTAAAGGCTTTGCGATTGCCTCTTAGCAGTTAAGTACTATATGAGTCTTGTGTGGTGGTGCTTACGGTTGCTGACAATGCAGACAGAGCTGGGGGCTGGTGGCATCAGAGCACAGGAGACTAACATGATTTTGAGGGGGCCCAGAGACCAGTGACTGAGGGAATGGTTCCAAGAGCCAATGCTGGTGGGTGTGAGGTAAGGATCAGTGGACTGGAATAGTTTGAAGACCAAGGGTTGTACAGCCCTACAGCTAAACACCCAGGTCCCTTAATTCTGAGAAAAGCGGAGTCAAGTCTGAATCCTTGCTGTTCCCCTGCACCCCTCTTCCTCAGGAGACTTCGCCTACAACATGGATGAGGACAACGCCCGCGTCGGGGACAAGTTCATGAGGCTCATTGAGCCCGTGGCCGCAAGCCTGCCGTACATGACATGTCCTGGGAACCATGAAGAACGCTAGTGAGGACCAGGGCTGTGGGTGGGCAAGGGCTGGGCAGGAGGCCCTGGCTAGACTTATCTCAAAGTAGATGATTCTTTGACTTCCAGTGGCTTCTTAGTGTCTAACCTTAGTCTCTCAGACTGCAGCAGCTCATGTGTGGTAGTGAGAGAGAGGAGGTGAGGGACAGGCTGACTTGTTAGCCTTCCCTAGGCCTGGGAGCCAGAGTCTAGGACCGACAGTGAGGGAATGGTGGGGGTGGGAAGCTGTGGCAGCCAGCCCCTCACCCCACCTTTTTACTTGCTTTTTCCAGCAATTTCTCCAACTATAAGGCTCGCTTCAGTATGCCAGGGAACACTGAAGGCCTTTGGTACAGGTAAGCTGGGAGTGCTGGAGACTGACCTTCCTCCCAGGATGGGGCATGCAGAGGAGGCCTCACCTCTGACCCCTGCCCTTTGACCCCTCCAGCTGGGATCTGGGCCCAGCCCACATCATCTCTTTCTCCACCGAAGTCTATTTCTTTCTCCATTATGGCTTGCACCTGGTAGAGAGACAATTCCGCTGGCTGGAGAGTGACCTGCAGGTAACCTGAGTGGAGGTCCCCATTGGTCCCCAGCCTGCCTTACTCCCTCCACCCCCCAGCCCTACCTCTCCCTCTGGGACCTTCTCTCTAGAAAGCCAACCAGAATCGGGCAGTCCGGCCGTGGATCATCACCATGGGTCACCGACCCATGTACTGTTCCAATGCTGATCTGGATGACTGTACGTGGCACGAAAGCAAGGTGAGGACCCCCTTCCTGGAGGGCGGCAGGGGCCCCGAAAGCAGGTGGGGTCAGTATGAATCACCTCTCACCTCTTTGTCTATCCTTCTAGGTTCGCAAAGGTCTCTTTGGCCGGTTGTATGGGTTGGAGGATCTTTTCTACAGACATGGTGAGTGACCCTTAGGCCCCCTAGGCCCATGCCCCATACCCCATCTTTCCTGGATTCAGAGACCTGGCCCCATTTTCTGTCTCAGGGGTTGACCTGCAGCTGTGGGCTCATGAACACTCCTACGAACGGCTATGGCCAATTTACAACTACAAGGTGAGGCACAGGGAGGGTCGAGGTCTCATGTGTCTGGTGGCAATGGGTGCCTCATTGGACATCCTGGGCATGGCCTAGTGTGACCCCCAACTCTGCTCCTTCCTCCAGGTGTTTAACGGCAGCCGAGCGACACCCTACACCAACCCCCGAGGCCCTGTCCATATCATCACAGGATCTGCTGTGAGCAGGGCAGGGAAGGGTACCCTTGGTTTCTCTCTTCTTGCTATTTATCGAAGGCTAACCTTGATCAGGAAGCTTTGTTGGCACTGTGGTTAAAGTATTGGGCTGCTAACCAAAAGGTCAGCACTCCATGGGAGAAAGATGCGGCAGTCTGCTTCTGTAAAGATTATAACCTTGGAAACCTATAGGGGCAGTTCTACCCTGACCATAGGGGTGCTATGTATTGGACTTGACTTGATGGCAACCTTGATCAGTCTGAATGCCACATGCTTTATACACGTGATGTTATTTAACCCCTACTGTCACCCTAGGTAGGAGCTCTGGTGGCATAGTGCCTAAGGCATTTGACTGCTAACCAGAAGGCAATTGGTTCAAACCCATCAGCCACTCCTTGGAAGGAAGATGGGGCAATCTACTTCCATAGTGATACTGCCTCGGAAACTCAAGGATGGGTCACTATGAGTTGGACCCAACTCGACGGCAGTGAGTTTGGTTTGTTTTGTTTTTCAACCCTAGGTAAAGGAGCTCTGGTGGCATAGTGGGTAAGGCATTTGACTGCTAACCAGAAGGTTGGCTGTTCAAACCCACCAGCTGCTCTGCAGAAGGAAGATGGGGCAATCTACTTCCATAAAGACGTACTTTCTTGGGAACCCAATTGGGGGTCACTAAGAGTAGGAATCAATTCGATGGCAGTCAGTTTGGCTTTTTTTTTTTTTGGTCTTGCCCAGATATTTGGAGTTTGTGTGATGTTTTCTGTTTTCTCTGGAGGAGGTTCAGGTTATGCATTTGAGACAAGAAAATCAGAGAAGTCATGGTGTGTCCTTCTTAGCACATCACATGAGGGAGTCACATGATGTCAACACATCTTATTACTGGAGATGTTTAGCTGGACCTCCTGCTTAAGGAGGTGTCGGCTGACCGTCTCCACTGTGAAGCTACTGATTTCCCTTCTAATTAATAAATATCTTGGGAGAGGCCCTTTTCAACTTCCCAGTGTTTTGTTTCTCCTCAAATGTCCACCCACTAACGTTAGCATCCGTCAGCAGATCTTGCCTGTAGTAATTGTTACCGTGAGGTTCTGGTGGGGACTTTCTGTTTTCCTCATACTTCCTGTATTTATTAGCAGGAATCCTCTGGTAAAGAAGAATTACCCCTTCTGCTGTGCTCGGTCATTCATTCCAGCATAGACTCATGGGCAATTTAGTTTAGTCTGTGGTTATAATCCAATACTGTCGTCAATTATTTTGTTGCTCACATTGTTTCCACGGTGGCCTTTGGGAGCTCTTCCAGGTGGGCTTTTGTGCCCTAGTGACTCAGCCACACAAGATACTCCAGGTACATCTTGGATTTCCCTGCCCCAGCCTCGAGATCAGCCACTTCTCCAAGGAGGGAGGGCTTTGTTTGTTTTCTGATGCAGGACCTAGTCTAAGATCACTCATTCCACTTAAGCGGTGTCTCTAGTTTCCTTTAATCAGATCTACTTCTTCCAGGCTTTCTTCCTTTTCATGACCTTGACACTTGCCAGGAGTACATCAAAGTTGGTTTGTAGTGTGTCCTTCACTGTGGGTTTCTCTGAAGCTTGTTCATGATTGACTTGAAGTGAGGCACCTTTGGAAGGAACGCACACATATGATCCTGTGTTCCGTGTACCTCCTGTCAAGCATCATGTGGTAACTCTCTTTGAACTTCAGTTTTCCCATCCATAAATGTGGTATCAATCTGTCTCATTACGGATGACGTTTCCTTTGATCACTGCCAGACCTCTCCATCATAGAATTACTTTTTTCTGCTTGTAATGAATAAGCATCTTGTGGGGAGATACTTTGAGATAACTCAAGTACCCTGTTACTCCTCAAACTTTTCACCCACCACTTTTACCAACCAGTGATGAGTCTTGCTTCAATCAGTGATCACAGTGATGGCTACAGAATGGAGCTTTGTCGAGCCCCATCGCCTGCGGTCAGCGCCTGACTTTCTGCTTCAGGATGAGCCCTCCCTCTCCCCCAGCACTGTGTTTACAAGCTCTCTTTCAGGATCTGTTGTGCAGTGAGGTCGAGAGCCACTTTCTACTTCTATTCTATTGCTTTCCCTTTCACAATAATCGTGGCTCTCCAAATCGCCCTCCTTGGTGATGTCTATGCTGTGGTTTGTTTAACTGACCCCCACCGTTGGCCATTGGGGTGGCTTCCAGCTTGGGGCTTTTACAAAAATGCTGCAGTGGGCAGTCTATAGCCGTGTGCACTTCGCTAGAAGCCAGAGCTCTGAGGTACAGGAAGCCTGGCTGGGTCAGTTTGATCAATTGAAGCTTTACTGATACCATGTCTTAGCTGACTCTGTTTTACTTGGGGCACCCAGGGCACAGGCCTCAAGGTCTTTTCTGTTCCCCTGAGGGCCCTCCATGTGCCCCAGCCCCAGGTCTGACTGATTCTCTCTGTGTAGGGCTGTGAGGAACGGTTGACTCCCTTTGCCCTCTTCCCACGGCCCTGGAGTGCCGTGCGTGTGAAGGAGTATGGCTACACACGACTACACATCCTCAACGGGACCCACGTCCACATCCAGCAGGTGTCCGATGACCAGGTCAGTGACGGGCAGGCCCAGTTGCCCTGCCTGAACAACCAGGCTCTACGTGTTGAGCCCTAGTGGTTACAATCTGGACTCTGAAGCCAAACAGCCTGGGTTCAAATCTTGCCTCAGGAACTTACCAGCTGAGTGACATTGAGCCATGTATTTAAACCCTTTCAGCCTCAGTTTTCCCGTGTATAAAATGGGGATGGTATCATTTCTACCTCACAGGATTATACGGGAGTCGAATGACTTATTATATAGAAAGTGCTTAGAACAACGTGTGGAACTGGATGAATTCTATAGGTTTTATCATCATGAGGCAGGGGAAGGAAAAGACCAGGGGTGGGAGACAGGCAGACAGGGAACAACAGGATGGATGTGTGTGCATGGTAGGGACAGTTTAGGATTAGATGGGCTCACTTATTTTTGCTTTTGGAGTTTCAAACTCATGATGTCTAGGACTGCTAACCAGAGGGCTGGCGGTTCAAACCCACCAGCCACGCCTTGGAAGGAAGGTTGGGCAATCTACTTCCGTAGTGATACTGCCTC